CTTCTCAGCATAGTTTTTTTTCTGAAGCATTTACAGTTTTTTCTCATTATATTAGACTAGTTCTTCTAATGCAAGTAAAATGTCAGGTCATCATTTTCCTCTTTACAGAGATTGGTTAAAAAAAAAGTCTACAAGTAATGCTGACTAATTATGGAAGTAATTATCAAGTTACACAGACTACAGAAAACCACAGAGCCCAAATTTCTCAAGGACTTTTTGCCCTCCTCATTGGACTTCATTTAAAATTTAAATGGCAAACTCCATCACAACCTGTTTAATGTGGTTCCAGGGACTAACAGCTGACTATGTTCTCGGCCTTGCAAACTGCTGAAGTTATGTAGATCACAAGTTAGGAAAAGAACGGATCCTCTGCGTGTTGGATTTCCCCTATTTTGTTGGGGGGAGCGGACCCCTGTGCCCTGTTCCACCTCTACTGCTGGACTTGGCACATACTGTCCTTAACCTCCCTGCTCCTCCTTTCTGTAAAACGGGGAGAGTGACAATAACTATTTTGAGACCCACTTACGAGAAGTCCTCCATAAGAACCTGGGTTTTATTACAGTAACTCTGACATTATTATTATGTGATTCAATAAGGGTCAAAAGGATCTTCTTTGTATTTTCTTTTCATTTCCAAAAGCCTTTGTATTTTATGTAACAATAAAAGCTATAGGTCCAAACAGAGGGCAAAATCATATGGTGGATGCTGGTATGTGTTACAGGGGAGGTCTAGGGTCCAGCTAAGAACTGAATCCAGCTTTCCAAAAATTCCTATCTGCTGCTCTCACTACAAGATCACTTGACTGTCTAGCATCTCCCATTTTTAATATGCACGATTCCTAAAAATTACTCCTTACAAAATCCTTTCTTCTCATCCCTTACAAAACTATTGCTTAAAAACAGAACTAAACTTAGAATTTTTTTCTTGTAAGAGCCATTGCAGACCACCACTTGCTGTGCCCAGAATCCTGTGATTAAAGCTTTTGCGTTGGGTTTTTTTTTTCTTTTTTTTTTAATGGGAATAGCATAACCCACAAGGATTTCTCTGTGTTCTCAAGCCAACTGTGTCATCATAACGGGAACATTAATACAAATCCAATTTTATTATGTAAGAAGGAGGATTTTATTCACTGCTGAAAAAACAAAAATGGCTAGCTGTGAAATATAAGTTATTCCTCTGTCGGTGAATGCGAGCAGGCTTCGCTGCAGGCTGGGCTTTCTGCTGCACTAGGGCTGCCCTCCCCTGAGTACAGACCA